CCGTGGCTGCTCGTCTCGGGCTCCAAATTTGTCGCAAAACCTGATCAGTTGATCAAGCGGCGAGGCAAGAGCGGTCTTCTGGCCTTGAACAAGACATGGGCCGAGTGTCGCGCGTGGATCGAGGAGAGAGCAGGAAAGCCCCAGAGGGTGGAGACGGTCGATGGTGTGCTGAGGCAATTCTTGGTGGAGCCGTTTGTGCCCCATCCTCAGGATACCGAATATTATATCAACATCAACTCGGTGCGAGAGGTACGTGATTTATCTTTTTCTTCATTTTTTGACTACTCCTGGTTCCGGTTGTCGATTGCATTTTCAAAACGAGACAAAAAATGTACTGGTTGCGTGGATATGTTGTTCAGAACGGCAAAAGCCTGGTGTGGAAGGTGGTTCCAGAACATCACGGGCGGCTGCTAGGCTTTTGTTTGGCTTCTGCACGGAACTCGGCCGGACGAAGGGATACGCTTATCCAGGCCCACACGTTCTGCACCAGTCAGAAATGTCGCGTCCCTTGCATTTCTTATCGTTTGTTCCGATTCACAGCTCTTGCTTCGCTTCCGTCCCGACTGCGCTTTTGATGCGGCTCTGTTCGTGGCGTCGGCTCACTCCTTGTCGCCTACCCATCCCGCTATCACGTGCTCCCCACTAATACTGCCGCATTAGGGTGACTGGATCCTGTTCACGCACGAGGGTGGTGTTGATGTCGGTGATGTCGATGAGAAGGCTGAGAAGCTCCTCATCCCCGTCGACCTCAGCGAGTACCCCTCCAACGAGGAGATTGCCGCAACCCTGCTCAAGAAGGTCCCCAAGGGTGTGCACAACGTCCTCGTCGACTTCATCTCAAGACTATATGCTGTCTATGTTGACTGCCAGTTCACGTAAGAACTCTCCGTTATCTACACTTAACCTCTCTAACCTTCATTTGTTTAGCTACCTCGAAATCAACCCTCTTGTTGTCATCCCCAACGCCGATGCCACCTCCGCTGAGGTGCACTTCTTGGATCTTGCTGCCAAGATCGACCAGACCGCCGAGTTTGAGTGCGGTGTGAAGTGGGCTATTGCCCGAAGCGCCACTGCTCTCGGCATACCTCAGATCGCCACCAAGGATGCCAAGGTGACCGTCGATGCAGGCCCACCAATGGAGTTCCCTGCTCCATTCGGTCGTGAGATGAGCAAGGAGGAATCCTACATCGCTGAGATGGATGCTAAGACCGGTGCCTCCCTCAAGCTCACCATCCTCAACTCCACTGGGCGTGTATGGACTCTCGTTGCCGGTGGCGGTGCCTCAGTCGTCTACGCCGATGCCATTGCCTCCGCTGGCTTCGCGAGCGAGCTCGCCAACTACGGAGAATACTCTGGTGCTCCTAGCGAGACCCAGACCTACCACTACGCTCGCACTGTCCTAGATCTTATGCTTCGCGCGCCCGTCCACCCCGAGGGCAAGGTCCTCTTCATCGGTGGTGGTATTGCCAACTTCACAAATGTACGTTGCCATTCTATATACTTCAACTACTTGCGACTAACCCTACACAGGTCGCCTCCACATTCAAGGGTGTCATCCGCGCTCTGCGCGAAGTCGCTCCCGTCCTCAACGAGCACAAGGTGCAGATCTGGATCCGCCGCGCCGGCCCCAACTACCAGGAGGGTCTCAAGAACATCAAGGGCGTCGGCCAAGAGCTCGGCCTGAACATGCACGTCTACGGGCCGGAGATGCACGTTAGCGGCATTGTGCCGCTAGCGCTCAACGGGAAGCAGACAGATATCAAGGAGTTCAGCGGTTAGATTGTATCATATATAATGAGAGTTCCGTTCTGTCTTCACGTTTATGTCGTCTCCGCGCGTTGGGGCTGTGATGGGGGACGGGGAAAATGGTTCGTTTCCTGGTGCTGGAGTTGAGTTGGCATTTGCTTTGAGCCCGTCTAGATGGTTGCGAGCATTTTGGACCGGTGGGAAAGGGGGGGCGAGATGTGGGGGGAGGTTATGTGCGATGATTATGTCTAGGCACTATCGTAGAGAAGCATGGTCCTGTAAACACATGGTCTTGTAAACACATTGTCTTGTGAGATCTGATCCGGGCCTATGTTAGCCATACCGCTGCACCGGAGGGCCTCCAAATAAGTTTCTACCGTCGTGACGATACGGAGGCTAACATGAGTAGCTGAAGTGCCTCAGTGCAAGAACCGGGTAAGATTGCTACAGGTTTTCACAGATTTGACGATGTGAACGGACTTTTGCTAGACGCGCCACGCAGCGTGAAGGAGTGTGCGCATCATAGCTAGTTTCCCTTGCAGAAGCAACAGGTCCTAGATCAGGCCTTTAAACAAAGGCCCGAGAAAGGCTATCGAGGTGCTTCCACCTTAGAATTCCGCGATTCGGTTGCAAGAAGTCACAAAGTCAACCGCGTGAGACCTTTTTTCGACGCAGAAGCAACAGGGCCTAGATCAGGACCTCGTCAAGAGGATCAATCAAAGCTGTTGGAGCATCTCTGCTTGCTATTCCGAAGGTCCGGTTACAAGTTTAAACAGATTCAACTGTGTAAGAGGATTTTTAACAGACGCCGAGGGGTACGCCGCGTGCCCTTATCTTACTCCTTTCTTTAAGCTGGAAGCATCGGGGCCTGGATTAGGACGTCGTCAAGAGGTTCAAGGAAAGCTGTTGAAGCACCTCTGCTTTCTAAATATGGTGTCTGGTTACAAGTTTTAACAGATTTAACCGCATGAAAGCTTTTTTGTAAGAAGCAGTGTGCCACGGCGCGTACCCTTTTTGCAACGCTTTTTTTATCTAGAAAGCAACGGGCCCTAGATCAGGAGCTCGCCAAGAGGTTCAAGGAAAGCTGTAGGAGTGCCTCTGCTTACTAACTTTAAGGTCCAGTTACAAGTTTCAACAGATTCAACCGCTTGAGAGCTTTTTTGTAAGACGTAGCGTGCCACGCCGCGTGACCTTTTTGCATAACTTTTCCATCTAGAAAGCAACGGGGCCTGGATTAGGACCTCGTCAAGAGGATCAAACGAAGTTGTTGGAGTACCTCTGCTTACTAGATCTGAAGTCCGGTTGCAAGTTTTAACAATTCAACCGCTTGAGAGCTTTTTTCTACGACGCGGAGGGGTACACCGCGCGCCCTGTTTCTAAGTCAGAAGCAGCGGGCTCTGAATCAGCGCCTTTGCGATCAGGATGCTTATGTGGAGGAGAGTGACTGAAGCAATTCCGTGCGAAGTTTGAATTGGTGAAGGCGTAAGGTCGTACGGATTTATCAAAACGTAGCAGACGAAGCGTGCATGTGGAAGGGTGGGAGTGTGGCTTTTACTCAACGCAAAAGAAACAGGCTTTAGATTGGGACGGTAGCTAAAGAGTTTGAAGCTGGTGAAGTGGACGGGAAGCACTGACTGTGTAGGAAATGGGTGTAACTGGCGTGAGTTCCTACGAAACGATCCGCGTGGGATTGGGTTGGTGGATGCGACGTGCCATGCGGAGGCGGGTACACAGGGTGATTGGTTCTACTATTTATCTTATAGAGGGATTGCCGGGTTGGAAATCGGACACTGTCATAAGGTCAAAAATCACACCACGTTCAAGGTGAATCTTCTTTGGGCGTCAAATTTGCGCCCAGTTGACCAATAGGGACTCGTCGAATCTAGATCCGAGGCGGTGCATAGCTATTAGATTAGCCGTTGACGTGAGCGTCAGGGAGATGCCAGCGCAACTCCCTATCCTCTCTCTCCCTTCCTCTTCTAAGAAAGGGAAAAAAAAAAGAACATTTCAGCACATCCAGCTCTCGCGGGCGGAATGAAACGCCCACAGTTTTTACGAGCTTTTTGCCAGGAAGAGAATTATTTGATTGTTGATGCAGTAGGCGGAATATTGTTGTAGCTTATCCAGTATCATGTCGTCGAACTCTATCATTAGTTTATCAAATCTCAGGACTGCGTTGCTCGCATATTGAAATGATAATTCGTGGTAGAGATGTCATTACCTCTCTTCTTGTGAGCTACTGTGTGGTTCTCAATTCTATCCTCAGAATCATTCCGGCGTGCATTCGATGCTCTTCTATTCTTTCTTTGGCACAGGCTTCTGCAATGGACTTATTGTTCTAGAAAATAGACTAATATCCCCACCCAGGTACTGTCTGATGTAATTAAGAAATCGAGGACGATACTTAGCCTGCCTAAGAAGTTCTCGCTCTTGAGTGTCAAGTTCCATATAGCACCGCACATCTGGTATTCGAGCTTTCCTGGAACCCTTTCGACTAAATGAAGCTTTATACGTTTGTTCCTGGATTGCGGTAGGGTCAACGGTCGTTCCCTGATGGGCCACCGAGCCCACTTCCCCCTTTCTCAATATCGATATTGCCTGTTTGTAGAACTCTCGTATCATGCTGTCAATGTTGCTAGGGAGGCTTTTCCGCAATATCGGGACGGAATAGCAGGACCCCTTGGGGGGAATGGGAGCAAGCGATGTTGCTCTTAAGGAATACAGGTTTCTTACGCTGCATATGCAAAGCGGGTAGCCATGTACTCGCCCGAAATGTTCAAGAGGCTTATTTCCCGCTTCGATGGTTGCAAAGTCAGAGTTGAGGTCTTGCAAAATTCTGGTTGTGCGATATTGCATGATCGCTACTAGTGTTATTTTGGCATCTATGAATGACGTAGCGTGTGTCGCGAAAAGTGGCAATCGTGGAATTCCAAGGAGAGGCTGCAGCTACTCAGCTTCTGGCCCAACCAGCTACAGATCCGGCCCCTTAGAAGCGTGACTAGCCGCCAGGTGTCAAAAGCAAGGGGAGGCTACCAAGGGAGCCGAGGGGCGGCTGCAGCGGCATGGTGGAGGACGTTGTGGTGAAGGTGTTAATGTATGTAAGAGGTTCGCACGCGCAACGAAGTTGATATTCCGGCGGAACCCCGGCTGCAGATATCGGCCAAGGGGGTGTACAAATAACTATCCCTATGAATCACCCTCTCTTAATATCAAAATTCACCAAAAGAATAGGAAAAGATCAAAACAAAAGAATGAGGGCGTACTCGGGATCGAACCGAGGACGTTAAGATGATAATTACGTGCAAACTGCAATCTCACACTCTACCACTGAGTTACACGCCCATATAGACTTTGGCGGCTAAAATATACATATATAACTGCTATGTAAATTTCTAGTCAGCTTAGATATTCATGGTTCCGCTGAAAATATGGATTTTTGGACAGATGAGCGGCCAACCAATCTTAAAAAGCATCCAAACTTAAAGAGGCTAGCCGAACACAACAGGTCAGCGGAATTCTGGCCGGCAAGCGAAATTATGCGGCTAGCCATTTCGTATGGCCACAGCTGTTCTCGAGAACCTAAAACGAGTACAGGACAAATTGCAGGCATACAAGTGTTAGCGACGTGCTAATTAGACTTCACATGGGCATTTGCTGCTAACTCGCTTTCAAATCATGATGTACATGTAGGCAGTCATCAGGCCGGGCTTGACAAGAGACACCGCCCCGCCCACATGGAAAAGAATTCAGTCCTTGTTTCTAAACGAGCAATCTATTCGTTATTATGAAGAAGTCTATCTAGAGGAACAGTCCTTTCAGGTTATATTCCCGAGCTGTGGCATGAATATTCTAATTGTGGTAAAGATGATAAGGGGGTTCGCCGTAGCACCTCACTTTCAACAAGCTGATTATTACATCCATCGCACGAGTGTGGAGGACAGCATCTCAGTTCTACTTCGTGACTCATATGCAAACAATATTGGGAGGCTCCCCATCTCGAGATGATAGCATTTTCTGGAGCGTTGAGTGATTGCGGAGGTGAATTCAGGGCTAGTTCTTAGCAATAACTAGTAACCTTACGATGACGCGTCCAATCCTGACATTTCTCATCTGCTTCACAATAGCAATTCACCCCGGCTCTATTTTCGGTGGCCAACCGCAGCCCGGAGTGAATAGCGTTGACGGTAGTATTGTTCGAGCACGGACCGGGGATTTTCTATTGTTCTATTGAGACCCCTGTCTAGCGCCTCTTATTCACGACAGCAAGCGGCAAGGCGCAGGCATCCCAACCACCCAGTTTCGCAGCACATCGTCCTAGCAACGGATACAATTGGTCAGATGCGGCTGGTCCAGGCTCAATACCGCGTGTTTATTCTATTGCGTTTGTGCTATTGTGCCCTGAGTCAGTTGAGATCGGAATGCAGGACCGGGGCGGGGCGGGGCGGGCTAGGTGACACAGTGCAGCGGTGCGAGGGTCTGAATAGGCCGTGTCACACAACAATAGGATGGACAATAGCAAACGCATGCACGTGCGGTACCGTGGTTTCAGCGCCTGATGCTATTGTGCGCTGGATGAATAGGACGGGTGGTACTGTGTCATAATAAGAGCAGGGCGTAGGGCGTGTTTGTGTCAGCCTTCTTATTGTTATCAGCATCCGGCATCCCTCTCCTCTCAATCCGTTTCTCTGTCAATACCGTCCCTGCAAGACATTGTCTGAGCTGAGGCTATTGAGAGTGTTTGCACAATCAAAACTATAATCTATCTGTCCATATTTATTTGCGATCTATACTTATATCTGTTCTCCATCTATTCCATTCTTCAAAAGATTTTGCGCACATATCAAACCCTCCATCGAGTCTTCAAGCCTCAAGCCTCAAACCTCAATCCATACTCCGATAATCTACATCCATCAAATTTAACGACCACTCAACGACATCAGTCTGTCAGTCGCAAACATGTCAGCCACAACAGCAGCCCCACTTCGATCAACCACACCCACGACCCCTCCACCACCCGCCTACTCGCCAACAACTCCCCTCCCCCAACCCTCTACAAACCTCCCCTACACCGCCAATGCCAACTACACCTACAACCCATACAACCCGTTCGCTGGCGACGATTCCGATAGCGAAGACGACGACACGACTGTCGTCATCAACGCCTCGACCCAGATACGCGGCTCCGGAAACGTGATCGCTATGCCCCTCATCGACGCGCCTCGTATCAGCGCCGCGTTATTCTCCGTCCTGAAATCACACAGCACGGGGAAGAGGGGTACCGTCAATGTGCAGATTCATTGCGGGGTCTCGATCATTGGGGAGAGGAACGTAGTGGGTTTGCAGGGCGTGGGGCTACGGCCAAAGGCTGCAGCGACCACTCCGGCTGCAGCGACGCCGCAGAAAGATGGGGAGAGGGAAAGCGAGGTTGTTGAGGAGGTGAGAAGTACGGCTGGGATGAAGAGGAAGGCTGATGAGGTATGTTTGTTCCTTGATTGAAGTGTGAAGGCCAATGCTAATGAGAGTAGGATATCACGCCTCCAGCCCCCAAAGTCATCAAGGTTGAGAGCGCATAGCCGCTTCCAATCTTACACCAGCTTTCTATTGGGTGACATCGTATAAGGCGGATATGGCTGGACTGTTCCATCAGATGTTTACCTTTGTTCGACTGGGATTGGGGGGAGGAATAATCAGATTGTTATTTGAACGATATGGTTGTGGGTTGTTTGCATCGAGTGTGTACCGGGGGGGATTAATCCAGAGTAGAACGTCATTTTCATCAGCGATTTCGACACGGTTGTGGGCTTATTTGGGAGGAGGGTGATGGAATCATTGAATGGAAAGCAGTTATCCTTATGAAGTATATGGAGTAATGGAACCGAATTATACATAACCTCAAACACCCTGATAAATTATGTGTGGTGCAAAATATGCTTAAACTCTTGACACAAGTAGGGGCGTTTACTACAAACCTATCGATGCGAGCAAAGACCACTGAAAGGAACCAAAGAAAAAGACGTGTCGTGTGCATTATCTGAAAAGAGCTGTTCTTCGGGGACGCACACAGTCATACTACAATAGTAATACGCATGAAGCTCGGCTGTGAAAGGTGAATTGAACGGTTATTCGAGAGCAGTACGGCGAGACTAATGAACTTGAAGCTCAGTTACATAATATAAGTCGTCCCATTGTTCTTAAAGCAACGACACCTTCCGAAAGTTGATGAAGGGCTGCTGAGTGTTCTCGAGCCAAGTAACGCAAGATGTAAGAATGGCGCTTCACTAATCTTGGCTATGATGATAAGTCTACCGGCTCGACACAGAAGGCTTCATACGTATTTCTTTTGGGCGAATAGACGGACACTCGTAGAGCACAGATGTCTCGGGTGAAGTGGAGGAAAAACATAACTTGATATAATCGGAAAGATGAGTACACTCATGCTGAATTATGGACGCACAGTAGAGATGCAAAAAGGCATCCTCCATCGCCAGTGAGATAGACGGTGAAAGCGCAAAAAAAGAATCCAAGAGGATATTTTGCTCCCCAACAGGGAATCGAACCCTGGCTGTGACATCCGTTAGCATGATTGATAATCAGGCAATGGCTGCGGTGGTTGCTTACTCTCCCGCGCTTGTAGAGCTGTGAGGCTTGACAAGCGGAAATCATGACCACTAGACCATTGAGGATGATTTGACGTAATCCGTCGTTGTTTGATGGAAGAATGCACGAAATTTTGTTTATATGTAGTATGGACGTTGCGGAACGTACGGATGCAGCAGGCTTCGTTTGTGAAGCGAGATAAGGACTCAGGCACATTGATTACGGCGACTCACGGAAGCACACCGGACAGAAGCGGTTGTCTGATTGGATCTTGACGACCGTATTGGAAGTATGAATAAGAGATATACAGGAGAGAGGGTGCTCATTTTGGGCTTGTGAAGAGCGGGCCTACGGAAAATTACCATAACGGAAATTCAACGCTGGCATGCAGGTGGCGGGACGCGTTGTGGGCCGATGACCACATGCCTTCTTTATGCTGTCGAAATGAGCATAACTAAACTACAGCCTACCGTTCTGCGCAACGCCTGGAAAACATATGATGCTGGATCCTAGAAGCGACAATATTGATAGAATGTATCATGACTGTGTCTAGGTAGGGGTTTGAGAGCAGATTCTAGTGTCAATGCCATCAGGTAGAGACGTAGGCTGGCACTGTATGATAAACGAGTTCTAAACCGAGATTCAGACGCCATTAACGTGACTTAAAGAGAGCCCAGGGGTGCTTCGATTGGGCGAGTGTTGTCCAGGTGGATTCGTGAATGAGAGTGAAAATTGAGGCCGATACTAGTCACGTGCTGACGCACAGACCATGCGCCTAAGTAAACTTCGGGAGCTCTACTGCCTCAAACAACTTTCTCCAAACACCACTCCACATATCTGACGACAAACTCCGTTGGCGCACGCGCCCTCAGATTGCTCACCTTTCTCTACGAAAACCCTAACCTCCAGCAACCGCCACCATGGAGGCCTCACGAGGACCCCCGCGGGTCAAGAACAAGGCCGCAGCACCCATCCAAATCAGCGCCGAGCAGCTTCTGCGCGAAGCTGTTGACCGACAAGAACCAGGCCTGCAAGCGCCGACGCAGCGGTTTGCCGACCTCGAGGAACTCCATGAATACCAAGGGCGAAAGAGGAAGGAGTTTGAGGACTATGTACGACGGAATCGGATAAATATGAACAATTGGATGCGCTATGCACAATTCGAGTTGGAGCAAAAGGAGTTTCGAAGGGCCAGGTCCATCTTTGAGCGCGCGCTGGATGTGGATTATACGTCGGTGGTGCTATGGGTTCGGTACATCGAGAGCGAGATGAAGGAGAGGAACATCGCGCATGCCAGGAACGTACTTGATCGCGCTGTGTCCTTACTCCCGCGAGTGGACAAGCTGTGGTACAAGTATGTTTATATGGAAGAGACCCTAGGCAATGTTGCTGGATGTCGTCAGGTTTTCGAGCGATGGATGTCCTGGGAGCCTGAGCCAGCAGCATGGTCTGCATATATCAAGCTGGAGAGGAGATACAATGAGGTTGAGAGAGCCCGGCAATTGTTTCAAAGATTCACCACCGTTCATCCAGAGCCACAGAATTGGATCAAGTGGGCACGTTTCGAGCAAGAGAATGGCACCAGCGATCTGGTTCGGGAGGTGTATGGCATGGCTATTGAGACCCTTGGAGACGACTTCATGGACGAGAAGCTGTTCATGAGCTACGCCAAATTCGAGGCAAGTCTAAAGGAATTAGAACGCGCGAGATCAATCTACAAGTTCGCTCTCGATCGGATGCCCCGT